CTGCAAGTGGAACAGCTTATATCATACCACTGATTGGAAGTGAAAGAAAGTTCTCTCCTGGAAAACCTAACGGTATTGTCACTTGATTTGAACAACTTTTTTTACGTCACGTTTCCTCTGATTTTCATCGAAAACCATCGAGCACGCAGGAAGAGAGTCGTTCTTGTAAGTCTCAGATCTCAATTGTAAGTCTCAAACAAGGGCGCTGAAGCGCTCCTCTAAGAGACAACATTTACCAGTTGTATTTAAGAATTCCGTCACCTGAATTTTCATTGTATGATAGTGAGCGAAGATATACATTTGGATGCAAAAAACATCCAAAAGGAAACTATTAAAAACTGTATGTATGTATATATATATATATGTATATTTTTTTTTTTGTTTTTGATGAAAGGCTGAGGCTTCAAATTCTCTGGATACTTATTTCGTATAACGAGTTACAGTTTATTAACAATACATTTGATTTTTTTTTCAATAAAAAAGGGCATTCAATATTAATTCCTCTTTTGCATCAGATAAAACCGCTGAAAATCACTTGGTTAGCCAAAAAGATCTTAAAGAGGGTATTTAAACAGAAGTAGAATATCTCTGGGGCGTTGACGTATCTCCGTAGTCTACCAAGTGGAAGCAAATGTCGCTTCCCGGCCAGAAGATTATTAAGAGAAGCATTGAAAATCAGAATAACCATTATTTGAGAAGTATTTAAATGAAAGAGCTACAATGTACCAGAACTACATTAATGCTCTCAAGGAAGTACCCCATAGAACTTGAATAGTGATTAGGACTTCATTCGATTTTGGAAGTGACACTACTGGATGTCACGTGGACCAAATTAGCAAAGTTTTCTAGGAGTAAGTTCAAAGGCGCCTGGAAAGTAAGTTCAAAAGAACCTGGAATATAATTTCTAATGCTCATATACGTATTTAACGAAAAGGTGCTATCTAGAGACTTAAGTGACACACTAGACAGTGCAGTACCTGAACGAACACCACAATATATCCGCGATTAGATGCTTGAATTATAGATGAATCAGAAGCGCAAAGACTCACCGGGTAGTTAAAATTTATTACCGTAGTACAACATTTACTACTTACGGTATAAGGAAAGCATAATATCCAAAATATAGTCTCAAATATATTAAATCGGAAATGAAGGCGTCGCGCTTTTTAAAATATTATTTTTCCTATTTTTTATATATTGAATCCTGACAGACCGTTCGAGCGCGCTCTCTCCGCTGTAACGGTATTATATTGAGAGTGCAATTTTAACTGGAAAAAGGTCTTTAAACATTTTTATTTCAGGCGAAAAAAAAAGATGCATTTTCGAGAGCTTTCGTACCATGCATTTCGTCGAAGCCAGAACGCTTCCGAAACGGTCTGGAGTATTTGTCTTGTGTACAGCAACGACGCTATTGCTAAAAGTAGTACTCAAGCGTGGTTTAGAAAATTTGAAAACGGTATCCGTGGCCTTTGCGCTGTACGACCGTCTGAATTTGATAACAACTATACGAAAGTCTTTTTAAGGAAAGACGACCGACAAACAACGTAGAAATTAGCTGCAGCTACCCGACCATTGTTAACCACCTTAAGTGCTTTGGGCCTCGTACCTCATAAGCTCTGTGAATTTCACAAAGAATTAAGGACTAACGTCTCAACATCTTAACAGCTCGGCATCAGATGTTACGAGGGCCTGACTCACTTCCTACGAGCCAGATAGTTGACTGGAACTCGAGGCCATTGTTTGTTCATTGGGAAATCATTTTCGTACCCTATTCTTGATTCGTATCAAGAACTCAAAACGTCGTTAGAAAAACGGTTATCGCAGGAATACAAAAGAACTACATTAAATTTAGTAACAAAGGACGGGAAATTTCTGTCCAGCTTAGAAGTTAGGAAGCAAGCAAGTGCAAGTATATTCGTAACTTTATTCGCTTCTCACATGAGGTTATGATAATGGGGGATCGTGCTTTGGAAACTGTGTTCGGCGTTAACTCTTTAAGTTTACACAAACGTAGTCGTCCGCTAACGGACCCCCGTAAGTGAAACGATTAGACTGTTACAAGCGACTTGAAAATTATATAACTTTTGAATTACACGTCGCTAGCAAACGCAATTTGGCTGGTAATTACTCCGGTTTTCTAAAGACTTCAGCGTCCTCCAGCGGGCTCCAAAAAAATCTTTTAATCTTAAAAAAGAAGAAAAAATATGTTTTAATCTTAAAAATCAATGCTCAGCGGTCAAGCTTTTGTTCTTCGAAAGGCACAACGCTATAGAAATTTAGTGAATACATTAACCGAAAAGGTCTCGAGCCAAAACCACAGTACGTAAATGGTTCAGAAATTATTGAAAACCAGTGAGGATATACTCAAATATGGGGTCCGAAGGATAAGAACGCGTTGCCGCATGAAGTAGGCTATTCACGCAGAGCTTAGAGTACAGGGTCTCTGTTGGACAAAACTAACGCTTCACATGAAACCTGTTACATAATTATAACCTAAATACTGAAAATAGGGAAACTGAGTAAAAATGGAGTTCTTATGAATCGACTACAGGTTAGTTGAGAATGCGTATGGTATATATCACCTGCAATCTACAGAGGCAATTCGCAATTTTTCTCTAAACAAAAAAAACCGTCTCAAGCATCCGGTCACAGTAGAGGAGGCATGATTCAATATGTACCATCGGGCTAGGAAAACCCGGCGAAACAACGATGTCGTTTTGAAGGGAAATCGAATTCAGTAGCAATGGTAGTAATACTTGCTTGCAGCAGGAGCACCCCCTATTATGACTTGCTTACCGAAAATAAAGTAATAAATACGGCCTGTTATTTCGAGTTCTCTAAGTAACTCATTGAGGTTTTTACGGTAATCGAAAGCATACGGTCTGATTACTTGTCGACAACCTCCAAACCCAACCGCCGTGCTCCATTTACTTCGTAAAATTAATTAAAATAAATATTCAACTTTGGTTTCCACCCGCATGTTTTCTCGATCTAAGTCCGTGTAGTTATGGATTTTCCATGCTACAAAAAGAAAAGTAATGGAAAATTATATTCCACAGTCAATTCGCTTCGAAACGCTATAGATAGAGAAATTATTTACGGAAACGCAAATGGTAAATACCTGACTGTCCACAAGCTGTCAGAGCGCTGGGACGACTGTGTAAAAAATAAAGGAGTCTATTTGTAACACGTATCAAAAAACGTCATTCTAGCTCAATTCTTTCGAAAAGGACCCACTTTCAAAGCCTGCCGAACTCACTTGTAAAAGCCTAGTATTTTTAGCTGCGACTGAATGCGTAAGGCTTGCATTGTTTACGACTTGTTTACCGCATGCTATGCGCGTTAGAGCCACATAGGAAGGAGTTTAGTCGTTACATACCTGCCTTCTCTTATGGGCCTCCTCTGATACCCGTCCTGGCATATGCTTTAAAGAAACGGGGAAAATGTTCTGCTATGCACTTTGATTGCATTATCTTGGGACTATACAAATTACAAACGATGCTCTGAAATTGTACGTACAACGTACCAAGATCTTAAAACATATGATGTCGCAGAATATAATATTCTGGATCTGAGATTAAGGATCTGAGAGGAGCTTAGATCTTCACTGCTCATTAGTAGAATCGGATGTAGATCACCTTAATCGGTTAGAATAAATCCACGAAAAAAATCTGCATAGACTAAGTTCTTGGTAAATAATTTTTTACTATATGACTATTGAGGTAAATAGCCTCTGTGTGTTTTTGTACGCACTGAAAACAGTGTTTTGTATTCTTCCTTCTGTTATTGTTGTTGTTATTGTTGCTCAAGTTCCTCATTGAAGGCAGTCTGTAACAGGGAACTGTCGGCGTGGTCTTCACGTGTTGTTTACCCTTTCCCATAGTTTTCCCTCGATGTTCTCTCTCCTAACGGGTCCCACAAAGGCGGGCCCTCCGATCGGACTGTTCCATTCGTTCAGCCGGCGAGTAGGAAGGCCAAGGGACGGCCTTGGCGGAGTCTTGTACACTTTCAAGTGGATATCGTACCCTTAGCGGAATAGTCTTGGCTAGTCAGAGCAGACAAAGCTCCGCTCTGTACCCATCTGAGTGGCGCTTATAATGCTGAACTTTCAAGCTATGGTGAAAGCGAAAAGATATAACCGCGGAATCATTTACGGTAATAGTCAATAAACGGTAGACATTTAATGCTTAGTATAGATATCGGTAGCTCTCTATCCAAATAACGTTTCATTCCTTAAGGGCATATGTGTTTATTAAAAAAATATATCACCATGTACCTTGAATCAATAAGCTTCATACAAAGACGAGTCAAGCTTTTCTCAAAAAAGTGTTTCGACGACAGTTTACATCAGATCATAGCTCAGTTAGGTTAGCATAGAGGTTTTCCAATAGACAGACCAACTAAGTTGGCAGGCAACTCCGATATTGCAATCCTAGAGGCAGACGTTATACGGAGTTCATGGTCTAAGTTTATTTCGCTGCCATTCATCTAGAACCACTTTATTTCTTTTAGATTTGCAATACTTGAATTATGTAATCGTCTAGCATATCTTGTCTAAGTAATACTTCACCGATAGATTGTGCTAGCTTTTCGCGCAAGCAGCACATCTCTAGTTAGATTAAAATAGAACTTCTCCAGTTCTTTCAATTGTCTCTAATGCGACCAGTTTAGAACATACTATATTATATGCAAAGTATTTTTGCTTTGCTGGAGCAAGCATTGCTATCGTCCATCATAATAACAACACCGCAACATTTGAGCTCGAGTCAATTCAGTCTTCAGAAAATTCTCAAGTGGTCTTCACAAGATTTAGGTGAGTCTCTCGTTCAAGAAGGTCGAGACCGAACCGAAGCACCCAATATGGTGATTGCGTTTGTCCACTTCTACGCCTGAACCTCTTTAAGTATATGCATGATGCTTCGGCTACCCCCCTCGAGGCGGTGATATGCAAACAGACTAGGTCTCTCGTTTATTTTCCCTCTGCGTGTCTTTTTTCTTCCAGTAACTGCCCACTTTTTTTTTGAAGAGAAAGCATTCGCCCCCGGAGAGTCTCTTTATCCTCGTGCTTCATTAACCAGGTATCGCGTCCTGTTCGTAAACGTAGTAACGAAAACATCGACTTTTAATGAGAAATACATTAGTTAATAGAGCTGCGTAGACAAGAACAGCACATAGTAACAAAGTCGTTAAGATAAAAACCGTCTTCAAAATATGGTTTGCAAAACAACGTTAGAAAGAATAACAATGTATTACTTTCATTTATAAAAAACACAGTCGTAGAATTCTGGGTAGCTAAAACGACAATTATAGCTCTAAGGCTATTTTTCTATAAAGCGTTAACATGATCCACAAATTGTTCCCAAATTCTAATTAGCCCTATCCTATTTCTTACACTGATACATTTATATACATACGTTTCAATATCTGAAGTTAGCTTAGAGTATTCAACGATGCTTTCCACGTATGTGCGCAGGTTTTTAGTTTTTTGCTTAAACTGAACGTTCCGTCTACTGCCACCCCCTACGTAAATAGTAGGTGAAACAAATTAGAGTTTACAAAATAGTTTAACATTACAGTCTTTAAGAATATCTAAAAGATCTTCAGCCATAACGCGGACACAGCCGCTTTGTGTATAATAAGGAATAACGATCCTAAATACTATACCTGATCTACTGCCGTATCTGCATTGCATTTAAAAATTAGAATAGATTTAATATAATAATCGAACAGTTTATAATATACTTGATCAATACAAACTCCCTAGGCACTCCAACGACGTTTCTGGTTGCTAGTTAAAAAGACGCTTAAATATACAAATAATATAATAATTATACTTAGAATCCATCTTGCTGATAGACGACTGGGATCTGGGAAGTTCATATCATGGCATTTTGTTGGCTAATAGAGGATATCCAACGCCCGTCGCAATGTTCAATAATCCGCTTTAGAATAGTAACAGCAATACGTTTTGACGTCGTTTACCGTTTATACCGTAAGACGTAATATCACAGCCGTGAGACAGCTCTAACAGAATATTGTAATGATACGTTACTATAGTATGGGAATATACTACGTTAAAATAGATTACGGAGTCGTAGATGACCTAGGGCATATCGTGTGTATTGCAGTGATTTTAATTCGTTCTTACGTTTTTTGAGTTCTTACGTTTTACGTTGAATTTTGAGGATAAATGTGCGTGAACGTTTACATTAAACATTGACATTTAAGGTTCTTTCTTGTTAAGGTGGCAGAGTAGCGGGGACGAGGTAATAGGTCTTCAATAGCATCAAAACGCCACGATTGTGATGCGAGCCGAAGATGACTGACGCATAGCAATGAGATAATCACAGTTAGTCATTTAAGCTGAGGTACGTGAGAGAAGAAGAACCTCAATCGAATATCTGATTAGTCAAAATAGAGCGATGAAATTGCTAGACTTATACAGTGGTCTTTGTAAGGCAGGACGACTAAGTGCATCGAGAGATCTCCAATAGGACGATAGGAGTACTAACAAACGAGGCAATAGGTATAGCGAAACACGGTAACAGAAAAGGGTCTGCAATGAATCTGAAGGCCCGCTCGGCCAGAACAGATTCGACCGGACCGACTAGCAGTGTACTGCTGGACAAGATCCACCGTGTACGTATGCTGATGGCCAGGCAATAGAAATTGATCGACAACTAAAGATTTTTAAATGTAAAAACAAGCACACTCTGTACATACGTGTGGAGCTGTTTAGTACTACACACGTCTGAAAGCAATAACCACCAGGCACCGACAAATAACCATTCTTCGTATATAGACGTATAGAAATCCTAGCCGACACCAATGGGGGCTACATGTATCACCTGTTGCGGATCAGCAGTGCTGACTATTTATTTTGATTATTGATATTTTACCGGCTGCTCTTTTCCACAGCAACCTCTTCTCTACCTGTACTACTACTACCACTAATGTACTAAGTGTCGGCAACAGATTTTGTTTGATCGTTATCATTTATTCAGCTATAAGTGTACGATCCTTACATTTATCTCTTTTAAGATAAGTATGAGGGACAATGATTTTAAAGCAACTATGAGAAATATTAAGCGTGATCTCTCGTAGTTGGTCGTTGATCTTTTCTCACATCTAATAATATAAATACTCCATGTGTGCATTCGAAGTTCGGAACTACAGTTAGAAAGCACACATTGCCAAGCAAACGTACGCAGAGGTGTGTACATCTCAAACTATACTACACTCCACATCGCGTTTGCGTCGCTTTCACGCTGGTGCCCAATAACCTATCAGCTGAGTAGAGTGCCAGACGCCCATATTTTTCCTGGACGACTAACGCCAGGTGTAATAGCCCTTTCAATATGTGCCTACTTGTTTCGAGCGTTACACTAAAATATAGCTTCAATACCCTAATAATAACTAAGGAACGGACAAAGCGTACTATGTGTACGTAGAAGTGATGGCATTCAAGTATAAATTAATAATAATACGATAGAAATCCAAAGAATCACAGACCCGTAGATCGTTGCTATCGTGGTTAGACATGTGATTACCGTGCCACCTAGGCTTATCTGCTCCACTGAGCCTACCTATTGTATACTCAGCCGGATTAAAGGGCTGAATGAACAGTAGTGAGATCACGTCTTACCATCCTATAACTCAATGATTAATTAATTCAATTAATTAGTAACAATTAACGCCACCCACGCATCGCTCTGCAAACGATGTTTGTATGAATGCTAACGAAAACGAGCGGCCATATACACAGACAGTGAGTCCGTTAGCTAGCAGATTTAGCCACGACCCACTGGGAAATACTCTTTGCCACCTTAAGGCAGTACGTACCTTGGCCATGCGATCTGATTAGTTACGTGCTATCAACCCCAGTCACGGATGTGTATTTCAGAAAACAGTAGAATCATGCGGTAATCGTGGTCGTGTTGCATATACCGTTATTTGCGACCTCAATTAGAGGCGGGATATTGGAGAACAAAGGGTAGGGAGTCTATGTAACGGTGAGTCGAATAATCCACGGGAAGATCGATAGCTGATCACGCTTGCTGGTTATCATGAACACTCATTAAAAAATGAACTGAAGTCATAGGTGTACAGATTGATACGAGTCAGAAGAGACATATTTTAATTCCTGGGCCCAGATACTGATCTCAGGACAAAGGTAGTGCAGTATACGCCAAATATATAAACGATGTTAGCGTCTCGGACACAGTTCACACAAGTGGTCTCTGAGTAAATAGCAGTATTTAAAAACATTGGTGAGAACTACACAAGTGTTATTCCCTGAAGGAAAATCTGGTATACAGAGCATCAGATTGGAACTATTGCATCAGCTAACCAACACATTTTGCCTAAAATGTATCATTTAGCTTTATTTTTGCATAAATGGCACAACTTTATACTTATGTATATCTGTAATTTAAGGGATGATAGGTGAATGATTCAGTGCAATGAGGAAATACTATAAGTCAACTCAAAGACCGCCTTGTGAACGCCACAAGGAAGCACTAACGACGGATTAACAAGGAACCGCAAATGTATATCTGGAATCTCTTTCCCGTAAGAGCAGAAGACTCATCAAACGGATATATATATAACGTTATGTTTTTTTATATCTTCATACGAATGTAGTGAGTTAGCACTCGCGTGTATTTTTCCAGTGTCAATACAAAGCTGCTGCGTCTGTAAAGATTAAAAATGGCGCCACCTAGACGCTCAGAGATTGTTGTAATTTTAACTATTCATATCTTATGCATGAGAGCGATAAAAAAGTAATAGTGGGGACAAGGTAGAGCCTATGACAAAGCAGTACCCCATTATAACAACGCAACCGTTGATTATCCTTACGTGACTCTTGTCACGAGGCGGTCTGAACGAGCAGGGGGCGGGGGCATAAAAGTAGACAAAACAGACGAACATCTCGAATCATTGCAAAGAGAAATTGTAGTCCGTACTAGATGCACCAGCGAATTGCGTGTTCAGAATATGCTCTCCTAAATAAAAGTAAAAAACGTGCTGGGAAACAAAAGGACGATTGGTGCATCTGTATGAGTGTACTAGTGCTATCTGTTGATACCTTAATCATTAGTTTTACGGTACGTAGTACGCTTCCGCTATTTTTAGTGATTACTAGCTACTGAGCTGAGCTATGACGTTCCCGATCAAGGTGTGAATGATTCAACTAACGACCTTAGCAAAAACGTTGCCATACATAATCATTGATCAAGGAAAATGCTAGGGATGCATCGTTTGTGCTTGCCAAGCTCTAGCGTAGATAATTGTTTGAGGGTCGATCAGGTATCCGTTGTGCTTAAACAAGCGCGTTGATGTATTCGGGCCGGTCAACAAATACAAAAAGTAAATCGGCTTGCCGGACTTTTCTAGCCAAGACGGGGCAACGTTCTTGCTCAGCTGTCCAAACGTAGACGCCTGTGCAAGCAAACGCTAATTTAATCACTTTTATCCCTGTCTGATCGCTGCTGCAGTAGCATGACCATACCCCTAACATGCGATATGTAAGGTTATCCTCTGCAGAGTATAAGTTTGCTGGCCTTGTATTGTTGATATACAGTTGATCGCATATTGAAAACTAATTTCTCTATCGAGAGGCGACCCTTAACAGGAGCCCGCTGCAACCAGACCCTTTTCGCTATCCGGTTTTAGACAGAACAAAATCCCTATCGCGGGATTTGTCCCGCAAACCCTTTACATTGCGGAAGAACAATTTCGAAAACATGAAATTTAATAATAGCTTCTCTATTAACTAGTGTTTATGATAGCACACAATAGTAGATCTAGTTTCTGAACTGTTTAATTAAAAACAGCCGTAGTATTTAATATAAGTAAAAAATTGGTCAACTATATGATTCTGTCAAACGTAAAATGGTTAAAAGTGTAGCTTTAGCGGCTACAAACAAAAGGAAAATCAACGCGCACCATTACAGACTCAAGCAACGTCGAACACAATGGTCCAACGCTAACATGGCCGTGCATGATTGTCGCATAACGAAATCTTGCTGAGAAAGGACCCATACATAACATAGTAGTTTGGCTTTACCATATTAAAGCCATCTGATAGATATGCAGACATATTTATATGAAGTCAACGTGAGAAGATATCGTGACTCTTTCTTGCAATGCAACACGAATAGATGGCGACAATAGAAACTACGCGGGAGGGAACGAACTGGGCCGTCCATTCCTATTGATTTGGTTATGTTAATTGAAGTCGGTTGAAGACCTTATGGCCATCGCCGGGCTTTGTGACTTAATCTACGATTTTTCCATTGGCGTATCTCCCATACCATGGTACGAGTGTACACATCCACGCACAAACTTGCTCACAATCGCGTAATGAGTCCCTGCGCACCTTTTGTTGATTTCTCACGCGCGAAACACCTCTTTTTTGTATCTCTCGCATTTTTTTAATGTTTGCGTGAATAATGGTTATGAAATATTTTCTATTATTTGTGGCACATGGTTAAAGCCTTACTACAAGGGCGAGCAAGTTTTATATAAAAAAAAAAAAAGTATATATATATCTATAAAAAAAAGGGTTGCCTATGTCCATAGACAGGCAGGACTTGTCTTCTCACACAAATATGAACTTCCTAAGAAGAAACTTGTACATATAAAATTAACCCTGTGACCATCGATTAAATATAGATACGCGTATATTGTGATAATTTTTGAAGACTTGCGTGCCTGTATTCTTATTACATTTGTTTTTATCCTCCGATGTAATGGAAACGAATGGTGTTAAACTTTTATGCGCTCAAATTCTCAATTGGACCGTATTAATGTCTTCTCTTGCTTTCCAACAAGACAAAGTGTCCCTATACGGGTTGTTTTCTAAAGATTAATCGTGGGCCGCTTTTACATTGATATTTTGTTATCACCGGGAAGACACGAGTACGTACACGAGAAAAAAGAAAGTTGCAAGTTTATCAGACCTTTGTGTTGGATTTTAAGTAAATACATCACGTTCTGAGCATTACTTAACGATCGGGAATCTGTGAAAAAAAACTACTGAGGTGAGAAATTACGTGTATATATATGAAACGATTCTTAAAATCCTATACTTTATCTGTTATATAGATATTCCTACATTTCGATTTCCTGCATACAACTGAATCTGTGTCAAGAAAATGCTAACTCCTAGTATCGAAATTTCAAAATTTATTTCGATCGCCTTAAAGGCTTGTTCAGGCCGAAGAGGTCGTTCTGCGTCTTTATCCATCT